CAACTCTTTATAATCCCTCATATTCAAATAGGAAAGCCAGGAAATTTATTTTGCAGCTTCGCTTTAGGAGTCACTGTATAAGAGCAGAACGTGAAGAAGCAAAGACTAATAACTCTGTGAGATCCTTCATTATCGGAATTCAAAAAGCATTGAACTGAACTAATTGGCACACTTACAGCACACTCCAATATCACAAACCTAGAACCCTAAGACGTTTCTAATACACAAATTTCGTGACATCGAAATTTTCTGTTCCTTATCACTTGCCTGTTACGGTTTTGTCAGATATTCTATCTATATAAATCCATAAAATCGAGCAGACTGTCTTGCCAATTAGTGCTTTTGATGTCCTCTTTTTGCATCTTAGTCATGTGAATTGACAACAACTAGTAGTATCTTCCAGAGATAGCTGGTGTCACCCTTCCTGTATAATTTCGTTATTGGTGCTAATGGACACAACCTTAGGTGCCTCTGATTTTCCACGGATTGACCAACTCCCTGAAAAGTGTCAGGCTGACTTGGAGTTTTCAAGATAATAAGAATCAATGGTTGGTTAGTTTTCGTGAAATGTCTGAAAATCTCTGACATTGGCGAATGTGTATTCACTCTCTGACGTCCCATAAAGCTTGAATATTTTCACTAACCATAATTTTCAAATTCTTTATTCCCCTATACACCTTCATATACTTTGATATCAGTTTTTGCTGCAAACTTTTTCTTTGCATTTTGCTGCTGAGGGAACTTGAACCAGTGCAATTCTGTAAGAGATCCTGCTTTGACTTTGTTGGCTTTGTCTCTCAGTCATTTGCCTCTCTGACTAGCGGACAGTCTTTACACAGTAAGATGCACATGAAGAAAAACGTTTACACCCTAAGGGTTGTTCAAGCTAAAAATGTTCTTTTTACAGAAGTTGTAAAGGTTTTATCATTAAAGTCCTTCACGCAAAAACTCGATGTCTACTTAAGGTCACAATGTGGACTTACAGATTGAGCCACTAATATCTTGCTTTTTTTTCTTTTATTTATCCTTTGATTTTATACCTGGGTTTTCAGATGCTGGGACCAGCGATCCAATGATCCTAGATGCGGTAACGCACTAAGCAACAGCCTGATTTATTCCATCAGCAACCATTTAAAACCATTTCATGTGTACTTTATTTGCCCAATTTTTTCCACGAAATCTTCTAGTACTTAATCTCAACTATACAGTGCGAAAGTTACTTAACAAATACGAATCTCAGTAGCTGGAAAATACTGACTTATTGATTACCATAGGCATAAAGCATACACTCATGGGTATTTCCATACAATTTTGTGTATGTACATTCACTGATGTACGCCGTAGACGTTGTAGAGAATACTTTACAGTGACTTTGAACTAAATTTAGTCAAATGACAAGTTTGTGATGCCTTAGTGATGCATACGTATCACTAACGTAATATCAATCTGTGGAAGTTTTCCGATCGGATTTTTTTGGACTAAAGGTAGTAATCACAAGCATCGAGATCTTAAAAATGAATACGCTTGATAACCATTATTCAGCATATGAATCACATTTTTTCGAAAGCAAATATCCTCACTGCCACAAGATCTTACAATCTCCAACCTCAGTCTTCATTCTCACCAAATATTTGCAATTCACCACGGTATTTCAAAAAGTACAAGTTAACTCCAACAAACAAAGCTAAATACAGCAGATTAATACCTGTCTGCATAATTTCTGATGCATACTTATCGTCTGATATCTTCCGTATAAACGCTTTCAAACTATTGCTTTCTTCGGAATAATCGCAACACAGCGCAGATGTGTCTACACCAATAACGAACTACTTAACCGACCTACAAATGCGTCAGTGTATTTCCTTTATGCATTACCATAAACTCGCTTTAGCCGTAATTAAACAATTTGTACCGCCTACCAGATAGTTGAAATTTTTCAAAAGTAATAAATGAAGCCTTACCTTAAACCGTATCATTCTTCTTGTATTTCTTATTTCGGAGAAATGGCCAAGGAAACATTTTATGGAGTTGCACCCGTTTGTGGTGTACAAACTCGCATCACGATATAGAAACAGGAAAATTAAAACTATTGTAAAAATTTGCTTTGATGAAAAACTGTATCACTCACATGATAATTGTGAGGATAAATATGTTAGCTTGAAACAGATGACTTGTTTGCATACTTGTGCATTCAAGTAATTAGCAACGTATTGCAGGGTGAGTCCACAGTACGTGTGACTTAGATGATGAATATCTTCTGCTGGAGTTGTATTTTTCCTTAGTACAGCATTGATGATGAAAATTCCCTTTATTAGTAAATGAAGGGTTGTGAGTTGGATTCAGCTTCAGTGGTTGCGACTCAGTTATGCAGCTGATATAACCAAGTGTTTACTTTAAAGTTAAACTTGAACAGAGTAAGCAGAGTACATTGATCTCCAAATATCGAAACAAACCCATTTGATTATAGAAAAAGCACAAAAGACGATTGAAGAGAAAAAAATATTTTTGACGAAATCATCTTCGTGAATATAAGGATCGAACATTGAAGAGTACTTCCCAGTCAAAAGTCAATATAAACTGTTTGGCAAAGGAAAGTTACACAATGAGGAAATTTTAAAAAAGATTACAAAATAGGAATAGTTATGTCATATGGGAGTTACCTAGAGTGATAGATCATGGCAAGAGAAAAGTTTGTACACTTAGGGATCAAATCATCACTATGGATTCAAAAGAAGTGTGTACAACCTCATTCTTCATCATAGAGTATCGATCACTCTAGTTAACTCCCATGTGACGCAACTATTTTTTTTAATTTGTATTCATTTTATCTCCTCATTATGCAACTTCCCTTTACCACGTAGTTTTATTGACTTTGACCGGAAACGACTCTTTAATGTTTGATCCTTTCTACTATATATTCATAGGTTTACAGCTGAGAGAATGATCTCGTCAAACAAAATTTTTTCTTCGCTGCAAGCATCTTAATCTACGAATCATTCATATCCGAAGCAACTCTGACTGACCAAAGTCCTTCCATTTGGTATCTTCAGAGATCTTCTGGCATAGTAAGATAGGTATGAAGCATGCATCACCAAAATATAGAACATCGGACGTAGTTCATGCAGAAGTGGTAGCTGAATACAATGTGTAAGTAGAAGTCATGAAACGTCTCTACATGCAGATCGTGACTTATCTCATGAGGCTACTTTGGAGCACTCTAAAAGTGATTGGATTGCCTAAATGCTATGCGACAAATGGTTTTACAAAAAGATTTCCCTGTTTTTTGTCAAACATCATATGATGATCATCGTACTCTGATGATGATGCGTAACAACCATGAACACAACGGATACCACTTCAGTGTTCGATTCAAAGATGTAGTTTTGTATGACTAATCACTGTCAAAACTATAAGCACAGAAAGCTTTAATAAATTGCCACAATCTGCATGTCTAGTATCATGATTACAGTTTCATAGTTATTTTTTGTAAGTAGGTTTACGACATCAGCGATCACAAGTGACGCTTAGACACATAAAAATAAGTACTACGTGAATCACGTAGTGTAAACCTCACGACGCTTTTAATGATCATTACTAGTCACCTTGATAACAGTCAAAATCTAGATCACCCCATACACATCCTACGTATTATGAGCCACCTAAGCTATTTCTAATTTGAATGCCTTCCTAAAGATTACAATCACAACGAGTATCTTCAGTTTTACCGTACTACTGGCTGATTTCATATGCTTCAGTTAGATGAATAATATACATCAAACGTTTGAAGCTGTCATAATGCCGTATATAATTTCAACAGTTACCAGTCTATTACATACATTTAGTGTACATGGTTGAGAGAGACAATTTGTACAAGAAAATCATCCCTTATTCTTATGAAGCCTGGCTGATCACAGAATGGTTTTTAAAAATACACAAGTACCTTTTGGTACTCGCCAGGTTCCACTCCATTGGTTAGCTGTCGATACACAAAGTCATCAAAACCACACACGGCAGGCAGATACAAAAGACTAGCCACAGTGTGTTAGGCAAGTAATATACAGCATTTGTGCATTATTTCTTAGTTTCACTGGGATAAATTATAAATCCACCATTTTAAGGTATCTTTAAACCAATAATACTGTTGTGCACTTCTTGGTATGATAATACAACGTATATCATTAAATATGAATTAGATGGTAGTTTCACACTTATGATTTGATTGTTATTTAGATAAATAAATAAAGGAACTAATGTAGTGACTTAGACCAGATCCTTCAGAAAACTATGGAGCAAATACGGCATGAAAACTTTTCCCACGTGATTTCACGCAAAACACCTTATTCCCGAATGACTCCTAGCTCAAAACACTAGCTAAAATGTGGTTGATATTCGAGAATGTAATCTTGAGTGCATAGAAATCTAAGTGCAACGAAACAGCAGTGTAGACATGATTTTGTGAACTTACTAGTGAGTAGAAGTGTTCAGCAGTCAATGCATGAATATTTCAAGCAATAATGTATCAGTCCACTACACAGCGAATGGAAAATTATATCGTAAGCTAAGGTAGATGTAAGTAGGAGTAACAAATAGACATGAAGTGGACAATCGTAACTAAGTATCTGTCTATCTTGTATCATATATTCAACCCGTTAATGTGGTGACCATTGTTTTTGTATGCAAACTATCAGCATATTTGAAATGTGGTAAATATCACAATATTTGATGAATGTGCAGATTCCACTCATGACTGTACACTTTGACACTGGGTGATTATTTTTCTTAAAGACTGTAGATAACATTGTGTAGGAGTGAATTAATTGAAAAATGTGAATGCACTTTACTACTATGGTCTTTAGTGAGTTCGTCTAACGAAATTCACCTGTAATCAATAACCTAGTGGGGAGAATATTCACCTCAACATCGTAGCTTAGATATAGAAGTTCCCCATTAAAATACACAAGTAATTTAAGTTGAATTCACAATTATCCCCATGAATTTTACGAAAAGTAGAGAGTAATTAGCATCTTTAAAAATATTTACTGTGCATGAAGTTCCAGTCTTTGGTTGCAAATAAATTTAGGCAGCTAGTCTATGAAACAAAAAGTAGATTCACACGAACAAGATCAGTAGGTGACTGCTTCGCGGGAAAAAAAACACTACTTGACCAACAGTTCGTTTCACGACTTCCCACGTGAATTTTTTAAAATAAGCAAACAAAGAAATTCGATGAATCTTGCTTTGTGAATGAATATTCCACATCAGTGTACCAGTACTTGTATGTAAGTATTTTCCCAATAAAACGTGGATACATGTCTGTGGATAAACACTTAATTGTTAAATAAAAGGGAGGAAGATGAACTATCTTTATCCTTAAAAACAACTGATAACATTAGGCAGGATAACCCAACATCAACCATACCGCACGTTTCTATGTGTAATATCCTAGAAAAGATTTTGCAGAAAGCGTACATTGAAGGCATACTTGTGTGGCTCGGAAAAAAAAATCCCCAACAAGTATCTTTAATAGGTATAAAACAATAATCTGGCTAACCCACAGACAAACAGTTTAAAATAAACACACCAATCCATTTAATAACAAGAATTCTGTATGTTATTTACAACAATGAAGTATTTAAAAAAGAGGACAAAGGTAGTATACAGTTATCAACATAGAATTATTTTGCAACAGGAGCAAAGAGAAAAATCAACGGTTACAGAAAACTGGATTGCATTGGCTTGAGAGAATTTATTCATCACCGGAAGTTAATCTTCTTTTTTTTCTGTTCAAATACCTCTCTCTCTGGCGTTTGCTCATGCGTTCTAGGCGTTCATTTCTGACAAGTTTACGAAGTTCAGCTTAACAATGAAAAAGAAAAAAAACAAGTTAGCAGTGAAGTGGTGGAGATTATTTGTAGCTCAGGAGATTAATTCTCATGATATAATGTTCTCTGAGCTGGATGGTTTAATCGTGGAACTTTCATTGTCATTCTAGACAACAACATCAGCAAAAACTTCCGAAAGATGTGAGCTGTAGGGTTTTCTCTACAATTTATTTAGTAGTTTGTCCTGTGGCTCTCTGTGTGTTTGGTTGTTTCTGCCAAGGTCTTGTCATTGTCTCCGAGATCATGACTAGATTATTGAAGCCTTTTGGAATCGTTGTAAATCACATGCCCACAAAATCTCTCCATTCTCTGTTATACAGCCCAAAAGACACAATAGCAAACGAAGACAAGCCAAACATTGTCTACAAAGTAAACTCGAGAAAGTGCAGGAAACACTACATCGGACATAGTGGTTGCCCTCTTCGTATCCATCTACAGGAATTGGTAATGAAATGTCACGACATATCTTCGCTCATATCAATGCATACGGACAACTATAGACATGAATATGACCGAGAAAATCCTGGATAGAGGAAATATAAAGAATGCCGGGGGATTTTTAGAAACTTGGTGTTCAGGTCAGTCAGCAATTACCCGAGATATTGACAGTGACCCAATTTATCAACCAATAAGAAATAACAAGAACGTCAAATTTCAGGTCATCAGAACAACTAGTCAAAATAAATATGAAGACAACAACAAGACCTTGGTAGAAACAATCAAACACATACAAGACCATCAGGATGAGCTAATAAATAAATTGTGGGGAAAACCACATCTTTCTGAAGTTTGTGCTGATGATATTTTCTAGAATGACAATGAAAGGTCCACGATTAAACTGTCCAGCTTAGATGACACAAAACTATCAAAATTAGTAGCGTAGTATTTCACGCACCATTTTCCTCACATTATTTTTTGGTTCATTTCAACTACTAAGCGAGAAAAGCAAATGTAACTGAGAGTCATGGTGAAAATTTGCAACTAATACTCTAAATCTATAGAACCGCAGACAGTTTGCTTGAACTACCCGCATAGAATGAAAATAAAAAGTTTACGACTACAACCGAAATATCAATGTATAGTTACATCTTCAGAGTTAAATGTGACGATAAAACAGTCATTTTGATTGGATCAAGTGGAGTATAAACAAGTATGAGATGCAGTAGTTAAAAGTGTGACATTTCCTTCAATCCAATACAACATGTATACATTGAGTGGAAATCTCCATAAATTATAATTATCATTATCCTTATCATTATCAGTCCCTTGGGTTCCTAGTGGAACATAGAGCTTCAGTAGCACGTCTCCAGTGACCTCTGTTCTCTGAGATCTTTTGAACCTGGTTCCACGACAGCCCACAAGCTCTCATTTCCTCATCGCACGATCTCCTCCATGTCACCCTCACCTCGGAAACCCAACTAGTCGATTCCCATGGGGATTCCACTCGATTACCTGGCCTGACGCGTGATGTCCCCAATCAGCCTTCTCAGTTCATTCCCAATCCATCTCCACTTCCTCCTGCATATTTGTTGAGGGATAGGCTCTTGGTTGGTTCGTTCCCAGAGCTCCTTGTTGCTTATTCTTTCTGTCAATCCATCTGATCTTCAGTAGCGAGCCAGCGTAAGCAGTTGTTGATGAATGTCTGTAGTTTATTGGAAATCCCTCTCGTAACGCGCCAAGTCTCTGAACCATACAGAAGCACTGACTTCACGTTGGTGTTGACAATCCGGATCTTGTTCCACATGCTGAGTGCAGAAGATCTCCACACTGGTTTCAGGCTAATAAACGCCTGTCTTGCTGTCTTTTCCGATTCTGACTTTGACATCCTCGTCTGTGCCACCGGCTGTAGTTGAAACGATGCTGCCTAGGTAGATAGGTGAAGGAGGCTACTTTCTCTAAGTTTCTCCCGTTGATGGTGATTGAAGCTTGTTGTTGTTGTTGTTGGTTGGGTATCTTCACCACCTCTGTCTTCTCTATATTCAATTGAAGTCCCATCTTCGCTGCCTCTCCTGTCAACTTGTTAGTTTTCGCCTGTAGATCTTCATGTTTGTGTGACACTAGACACAAGTCATCGGCGAAACCCAAATCTTCTAGGTTCTTTTCCGCAGTCCAGTGTATCCCCCTCTTCTCACAGCTCCCCACTGTTTGCTGCATGATCCAGTTCACTACAATCAGGAATATCATGGGTGATAGTAGATAGCAGCCTTGTTTCACTCCTGTCTTCACTTCAAAAGCATCACTGAGCTTCCCATTGTGAATTACTTGGCATGTGGCATGCGTCTTCATATAGTTGTTGAATGAGGCTGATAAAGGTTTGTGGTATTCTGTAGTGTTGATGCAGTTTTCGAATTACTTGTCGGTCGAGGCTGTCAAAGGCCTTTTCAAAGTGGATAAGGTTGAGGTAGAGAGCTGATTGCCATTCTATGCTCTGTTCTATGATGATGCGAAGCGTTGCAAATTGGTCTGCACATGATTTGTACTTCATCAAGCCTGCCTGTTCCGGTCGAAAAACACAATTTAGAAATTCTAACAAAGCTTTCAAACCAAACCAAAAAAAGAACATCACTTCGAACACGATATTTTCAAACGATAATGAGAAATCTTGCAATACATTGATTAATCACCGGAGAGTTAGCATTTCCATCTTATCTAATCCTGAATGATAACCAAACGCCACGCATCACTTAGCTAGGTGGTCACCAAATCTGGTTATTTCTGTTCGAAACTCCAGTGGAAAACATTCAGAGGCACGAAGCAACAAGTGCAAAGTTCAAGTCTAGGCGGAAATACAAAGTCGCTGAGCTGCAGATAAATCCAACCGACCAATCCCACATAAAATCAATACCACTGTTACTAAAAAAGTTCTCAGGGTTTATGCTTTAACTTGTTTACTGTACATTTTTAAAAATTCATATTTCTTAGAATCGAGAAGCCATTAAACAAAAGCTTACATAATGGTAACATACGAAACGTTGAACACAAATTGACAGTCCATCACGAAAGAAGTCTGTACTACTTATGAAGCTTGAAAAAAATAATAGTAGTATGAAAATCAAGGTCACTGAAGAAGACCGATGAAAACAGAAAGAACATAACACTCACTCGAAAAAAAGTGCGACACCTTAGGTAACTTAACTTTGAAATACTACAATCGGAAGCAACCATTAGGAGCAAAACGGAAAAACGAGAACTTTGTAAAAAAAAATCGAGACCAGGATAGACTACTCAAAATCAAAACAATAAGGAATTAGTTTGTAGATATTCAAACCAAACTGGGATTTGACGGTTTGGAGAGTCAGTGAATTTGCGTTGCACAGATCGATTTTCACATAAATAAGGACTCTGATCACACATTTCCACCACACATGTAACCTGATTAGTCATCTCGATGTCCGCAACACAACACAAATCCTCAGTCAGTATCTCTAAAATGTCGCTAATATAGCTAAAAGGATTAAAAACGTGGCTGATGTAAAATGGAGAAGATAGAGTTGCATTGCAAAAGCATCCTTACTCGAATATCATTCAAAAATGCGGGTATTGAAGTTTATATATATAGGAGGGTAAATATTTGGACTCAAAGTTTTCAAAAGTGGAAAGCAAACTAATATTAGCCACAACATACAAAAGAAAAGAATTTTAATCAGTAGTCATATTAAATGCCCGAGAAGGAAGAACTATATGTATTCGCTTTCATGATCGTTTCAAATTAAATGACTATGAGTTACCCTAAAATATACAATATAAAATTCCGGCTTTTTAAAAACAATACAATTGACTTTGATTCACAATTTAGCTATCCATGTTTTTATCGAAACAGTAGAAAGAATGAATCATTAACACACCAGTCGCAACAATGAAACTAAGTACAGATTCCAAAATATCTTTTCAACACGGACCAACACTAGTTAAAGAAACATTAGGAACTTTTACGCAAGACACAAGCTTAGTTTTAGTTTTCAACTCCATAGGAGTATCAACCTATAACCCTGTGAGGAATCACACCCATAACCATCAGTTCTTGTAGCGAGCATATGACAGACAGACAGACAGAACAAACACAGAACCTTGCACACAAGTGCATCGGTTCAAGTTCCCACAATCCGCAGTAGTATACAAAGAACAGGTGGATACAACAGTGATGTCAAAGTACACGAAGTTGTGCGAAAAAATTAACAACTTGAAGATAAAGGTTAGTGCGAATATTCAAGCTTAAGAAGACATCAAGAAGTGAATCCATCTGCGCTATTGTGACCAATTTTCAGCCACGTGAATTTTGTTACATAAAGCAAAACGTTTAGAAATAGTAACAATAACAAGAATTCAACCTTCAAATAGGAATGTTGAGCCAGTCAAATAAGCATCTTGGAGGTACCAACGGAACCTCATGGCAACCAAGCGATAACGGTAACTGCATCTTCCTATATTTTTCTAACAATCAATTGTTTCTGGCTAGTGCAAACTTTAAGCATAAGGTCAGACATCATCTCAAATAACATCCACCAGTATCAAAAAATGATGGACACAGAAATCACACTGCTAAAAGGCATTACTAGAGAGACTATGAAGGGTTGCAGCTCCTTCTGGAGTACATGTTTAGACTTCCATTACATGTAAGTAGGGCCATGTACATGTGCACTACTTATTTACTTAGAGCGATACCGTCGCTTGTAAAACAACAGTAAAGATAGTTGATAACATAAACCCGAATGGAAAAACACTTCAATGAATTTCTACAACCAAAAATAAAATGACTGATGCCAGATGACCTATTCCCACTGCCCCTGAGATCATAATGAAAAGCGAAGGCAGAGAAGACGTAAATTGACCAAGTCTTCACAATGATCGCCAGCAGTGTTGCTTGATGCATGTGAAAGATAGAAAAGATGCCAGGAATTATTTATTCGAAATATATGGAAGTATACAAGGCCTTAACAACCAAGAAGCTATCACGCAACAAATATGCAGGAGGAAGTGGAGATGGATTGGCCATGCACTGAGAAGGCCGACTGAGGACATCACGCGTCAGGCCCTCGAGTGGAATCCCCATGGGAAGCGACGAGTTGGACGTCCGAGGGTGACATGGAGGAGGTCATGCGAGGAGGAAATGAGAGTTTCTGGGCTGTCGTGGAACCAGGTTCAAAAGATCTCAGAGAACAGAGGTCACTGGAGGCGTGCTACTGAAGCCCTATGTTCCACTAGGAACCCAAGGGACTAATAATAATAATATAATACAAGGCCTTAAAGCGTGAGCTGCCCAGTCAGAGTGTGAAAGACGACAGACATATGAACGACTTTCGAAATTGATTGATTGTATCTTTCATTTCTTCTGGCCATGGATACAACAGAACCTGGATAGAGTCTAGGTGTCTGTCCCCCAACTCTCCTTGAAGTTGAGGAAGCTGTATCGAACCTGAAACGATGTAAAGCAGCGGGACCTGACAGTTTGCCATCCGAAGTTTTAGATTATAAGAGTCATTATAGCATTGCTCGTGTATGGTGGAATGACTGTCTGAGCAATATTGAGGTCAGGCGAAGGATTATAGGCAAGGAAGGCAAGTTATTCAATGCGGTTGTGAGCCTTCTCTGACTATGGTGGCTTGGACATGTTTTGCACATGTCGAGCCACTGACTACCTCAACGTGCAACGTTAGCTGGAGTTCAATTAAATTGCACGAAAGCTGAAGGTGGTTAAACCAAGATGTGGCATCGGTCTATCAAGTCTCTATTGATCTGAGCCGTGAAGAGAAATGTGGACTCATCAGTTGGGGTTCGCGTGACGACAGAAGCCAGCGGTTGGAGACTCTTCGTGATATGGCTCAGAATCGATTTCCATGGAGTATATGTATTCACACAATATCCTTATTTTTATTGTCGTACTGAATTCAGTATTTTCCTATTTCTTCTTCCTCTCTTTTACTTTTGACTGATATTTTATAACTTTCTTCATTTTTTTTTATCTTATTGCTTTCTCGCTTGATGTGCTGATGAGGTGTGGCAACTTTGTTCGTTACTCACTAATCCCTGGTCCTATGTTTATCTTTGTCTGTCTGTCTGACAAGTAGCTTTAGTCCGATAATAGTAAAACATACCCCCTTTGGAGTAAAAGGTGTCAAAGAGTTTCATCACGTATTATTGGTGGTTTACCCAAGAGATAAAAATTGCTAAGTAACTTGGACGAAACTGACAACATTAGAATAGTCATCCACTCACCTAACATAAGGCTGAACAAATCGAACAAACCAGATGTATAGGAATGTCATTTAAACTTCTGATCAAAAGCAGTTCATAACATCGAATAGAATTATGGCTCATGGGGACTTTTACATGCTGCAGTGTTGTCAGCGGTCCAAACGCTACAATCACAACCAGCATCAGCTGTCTTCTGTCATTTCTAGCATGTCACAGTTAATGCCCTACTGAATTGTATTGATCCACTAAATGACACAAAATGAGTATCAGCTACAGTGAATTCAATTTCGTTTACCTCGAGGAATAAAACGTACGGACTTCCCGGCCTCTAAGTTTTCAATTTGTTCTTGCTGAATTTTATCCATGAATTGTTTACGAAACTTCTTATCTTTCTCTGTTGCTATTCGTTGTTTCACCAAACGCAGTGCTTCCATTACCTCTTTACGTTTTTCAGCATCTAAATTTTTACGTAGCATCTTTTTCAGCTTCTATTTTATGAAAGGTAGATAAGCAAAATAAACAATGAAAAATAAGTTAGGAATCTGAGCACTGTGAAAGATCAATTTATTAGATATGACATGATATAGTAATACTTACTAGACATCTAGTAAATAGTACAACATCACTGTGTGCTATATCAAATAGACTAATCTAATATGAAGCAAAGAAATAGTGTGTTTGTAGTGAGCACTGATCCAGTACTTTTCGCCGGTTAACATTTAAAATCATAAGAAAAGGAATTTCTCATACGATTCAGTTAATCTGATAGCAGATGCCCAGCAGAGTTCAGTACGATATTGTAGTCTATAAGATCAATCATGTACAACATGATAGCTGGAACGAAACAGGGGACCAATCATCAGATGAATGAGATCAAGAGTATCAACAAGTGTGATTCAAGGTTCCAGATCCTACTCCTTGAGGTGATATATCCTGCAGAAGAGTTACAACTTGATAAAACTCTCAACTAAACACTTTCTGATTTCCAACTATCAGTTCACCTATGTTTAATGGGCCATGATTTTGACCAAGAGGTACATGAATCCACGGTATCTGTAAATCATGCTGTGCGGTGTAACTAATCCATAAAGTGAATCAGAAAAGTCGTTGTACCGTGTTTGACACGAAATGACTTGTAATAATAATTAGAAGTCTAAATCCACTTTTTTAAGCAAGCTTAAAAACAACTATAAACTACACAGTTAGTAAGAAATAAATTACTTTGTAGATATTTTTCATGATTAATACTAATATCAATCAGACATTAAGGAACACTAAGCAACCTTAATGTTAAACGTATACCCATGCAGCCAGTAACTCGCCTTAGGATTTGTCGATGAGTTCAACTATGTGTGCAGTTAAAAGTGTCAACCCTTGAAGCCTCAAATTAGCGCAAAGCTTGTATTTTTAATACTTATCTAGCTGATCTTGCCGCATTAGAGAGATTAGACGTATCTCTGATTGCAGCGACCAGCGAGATAAATTGACACTATTATCAAGAAAGTATACACTAACTGGTTTCTAGAAAGTAACCTATGGTCCCCGGTGCCAAACTTTTTCTCAAAGTATTGTCCTTAAATCTTTATGCCTCTACAGATATCAGAAGTTTTCAGCTGTTGAAAAGTACTTTTAACCTACCTTTAAAACCAAATTTCGAAGATAATATGCTTGTATCTTGTGTAATTTCGGTCAATAAGCTTTGATGGTGGAATATATTCTGATCTCTAAAGCTTTCTCTTGGCGCTTCCAAGTATGGTAACGATGATCAGTAAATTATCGTATGAATGATATATTACTCAATCAGTTAACTAAATGTGTATTTGTTGGAAAAAAAATATAAGGACCATACAATAAGAATGTTGCAAATAAAGCAAAATTTATGACATACTGTTAAGGTTTGCTTCCTTTCATCTTCTAAGAATTCCCAATCATTTACATGACAAATGCCATTGACTCTAGGATCGAATCGGGGATCATTCCTTCGTTTCTGTTTACGTTTCAGTGACTGAATCCCATCCTGGTACACACTTTTAAGATTTTCTGATAAGTGTAATATCTTTTTCTTAAAGTGTTTGAACGAAGTTTCTACTGGAGCATCGTCATCATCTTTACTAACATCCATGCTGTGAAAAATGAAACCATTTTTTCAAGTAAATATTTGCATATTAGTAATAGTAAATCGACACGAATAACAACCTGCAGCAGATTATCTAAAAAGAACTAAAACAGTCATCTTGCATCTCATCAATATCACAGTAACAGCCCTCATCCATATGAAGCACTGCTAAGTACAAATGATTAAAGAATCAACACTATCCTATTGACAAAGGAAAAAGAGAGAGCAGATTTGTTCCTGTCTTGTGATCTTTTGATAAACTGAACAATTATTAGTTGGCGTGGACATGTGGTTAATTGGCTTGACCCTTCAGTTTTCATATGAAGCACCCCAAGTTCGAACTCCACAGCACTTACTTTGGCCTGTGCAATTGGGTAGTATTATTAGCTTTTGTACAAGAGTAACTTATCGCTTAGTACACAAAATTGTACAGGGCTGAGTTGCATCAATCTTTATTCTATATTATTAGTTAAGTGATATCTATTCACATTACTTTGAGCCTCATTCATTGTACATGAGTAGTAGATCTATGCAACTAAATAAAACGTGGTGTACGATGAGTTGATATAAGATCAATCGTTGGTCTTCTTTATTGTCACTCACTTTATGCTTTTCAAAACACTCAATCATTTGATCAGCACTTATAACGCGGCCGAGCAACTTATGGTCGTTCGATTTACCAACACCTTATCAACCCTCCGACGATAAATCGAAAATGTTGCTTCACATTATTAATGTCCTACGACCATTGTATGGGTAGAGCTTCAGCACAGTGGTAGTGCACAATATCATATTAAATTACCTTTCGATATAGTATACAGTGGTACTATATTATTTACTGGATGATGTGTTCAGAACAACTTACCACTTATTATCGTATCAAAGTGATCACACAATTTCCTGGTCTGGTGTATACAGTTCTGCTACCTTTCATTCTTTGATTTTATTGCCAGAATCATTATCCATATATCTGGGATGTCCTGGACAACTCATATAATAAAACATGGTTGGAAATTAAATATAAGGATTCAATGATAAACTTGCACCTCCACACAAATACATTAGTCTTGAAGGCTTGCTGCGTATTATCCTGTTGCATGGATGCGTCAATGTCAGGAAAGAAATAAATCAGTGCCTTACACTCAGCAATACAGTAGCCTGAAACAGTAGCATTGCTAAAGACTAAAACATTAAAATTTTCCGTTGCACTGATTATCATGTCAAAGCATCACTAATAACTAGAATACTTTTCAAATTATGGACAAACTGCATTTCTCTTATAAACATTCAAAAATGTAAACACCAACATTTAACCACTGCGTCCCTAGTGAATCTGGCCCTAATAGTTATCTGTTTCTGTTTCACTCTCAAAAAGAACATCCCAAAGTATTGCCAAAAACCAAAGTATTCAACACATATGACTACAACAATGCATAACCATCATACCATCATGCAAATACTACCATAACCATAAGCAATAATCCATATTGGTAAACAGAACGCCGATCGCACGAAAACCAAACGAAAATAAACATGCAACCTCGCACACATTTGTATCAATTCGTGTAACCACACTTCACAGTAGTATACAAAAAACAAGTGGATAGAAAAAGAGTGATATCGAAGTAGACAAAGTTATGTAAGGAAATAAGCAATATGATGACAAAGGTCAGTGAGAATATTCAAGCTGTAGAAGACGTCAAGGAGTGAATACATCTGCCCCATTGTGACCGATTTTCAGCCATGTCACCAATAGTCCTCAATCATTGATCCCTATCGTCTTGCGTACCCTAGCCAGTTAGCCTACATCTCCCCACAGGCCAAGAGTCAGAGACTTCATCGACTGGTGCCACGTCTTCGTCTGGCTACTCTCAACCCTATTCTAACATAGTCCAACCTCCCCTAGCATTTCACGTCGAGGTAGGCGGCGGCTTGGCATGAGCAGTACATATCCAAGCCATCTCAGCTGATGAAGGTTAACGACCTCGTCAATCGGCTTACCTGTCTTGCGTAGTACCCTTCGCCTGACCTCAACATTTCTCATACGGTGATTCCACCGACGAAACCTGTAGTCAGAAATCTGTAACCGCCCGTTGTCTTATTTAAACAGGCATGTCTCGTAGCCGTATTCAGGACAGAACGAACTGCAGCCCAGTATACTCGTCGGATATCTCGCCGGCCGGCGCCCCAGATGACGCAAGTTGGAAAGTGCCAAACGAACCCTCCGTATCTGAAATGAGATTTCGTCAGCAACCACCCTGTTCGGGTTGATGCAATTCTTCAAGTAAATGAAGTGATTGACACAATCAGCCACTTTATTCCCTAACCTTAAACTGGGAGTATTTTCAGACCAGTCTTGGAGCGTCATCACCTCACAGTTGATAGGTGCGAAATGCATGCCAAACATACTCAGATTTCTGCTAAACGCGTTCAGAAAACCGAGATCTTTGAAGCATTGTCGCTCTTTCTGAAGTATCTGTGTAGACTCTAATCACATGTTAGTAGTATAGACACGTGTATGTTCCATTTTAGTGGTAGCAGGAAACAGGTGATATTGAAGCCTGTGTGTGATCAACTGGAAGATGAGAAAGTGAAATACGTATCTAGGAAGGAGATAGATAAGTGCTTATCTGAACGTGACAGGAATTCTCATCCTGTTTGCTGTAGAAACAGCGATAAAGACAGTAGGTAACTTACACCCAGAGGTTGACAAACGTCAATGCATTTGTAAAAATTCGTTTGTCTGAACTGGCTGATGCGAGAAAACTCATTCTTTCTGGCTCTGATCATAAAGAGGAGTGAAAGTAGCTCAAACGTAAATTGACTAAGAGTCTTTGCAATGATCGCCAGCAGTGTTGATTGGTAGGCGTGAATGATGGAGAAGGTGGCAGCAATAAGATAGATTCTGGAATTATTTAGGCCTATTAGAGATACTGATAGGAATGCGATGGTCAGTGAGACCATCACTGAAGAGGATGGGACCCTGATAACCTCCCAGAACAGGTACCTGAAACGATGGGCTTGACAGCCCAACTGGCACACAACAACGCTTCAGTAACTCAGCAGTTGGTCTGAACCTGTTATATCTTAAGCTAGATGGGTTGAAGGATATGCTCGAGTTAAGATGTGACAATTGGTCTTAGAGCCACTAACGTCACACCAACTGACTCAGACAGAAAACGAATTTCGACAGCTAACCTAAACAATTCATTATTATTCGCATTTAGCAAAATATGTAGAAGCATACAAGGCCTTAAAGCGTGAGCTGCCCAGTCAGAGTGTGAAAGACGACAGACATATGAACGACTTTCGAAATTGATTGATTGTATCTTTCATTTCTTCTGGCCATGGATACAACAGAACCTGGATAGAGTCTAGGTGTCTGTCCCCCAACTCTCCTTGAAATTGAGGAAACTGTATCGAAACTGAAACGATGTAAAGCAGCGGGACCTGACAGTTTGTCATCCGCAGTTTTCAAATATGGAAATAGGAAATGATTGATTAGGGTAATAGAGGTACTAGTCTGTTTATGAGATTAGATGGAGTCCAAACAGACTGGTCTACTTAACAGATCTTCCCAGTCCATAAGAAAGGAGAGATGTCTACTTGTGACAACTATAGGGGAATTTGTTTAACTAACATTGTATCTAAGATCCTAAGATTCATAGTTATCCGACGCCTAACTACAGCTCGATAACATCAAACTCGAGAAAACCAGGCAGGTTTCAGACCTGAATGACAGTGCATCGATCAGATCTTCACCCTTTCACAGGTTCTGGAACACAGACATGCATACTCACCAGTGACAGACACTTGCGATATTTTTAGACCAGCAGGTGACACTTGACTCTATCGACTGTGAAGCGTTGTGGTACTGTCTGATTGTGAACGGAGTACTGAGCAAGTATATAACGCTAATCAAAACTCTACTCGAATTCACACATCCTTTTAAGGGTTTACGGACAGTTGTTATCGGAATTGACGACAGCCAGTAGCGTCTGCCAAAGAAACTCTCTGTTACTGTGCCTGTTTAACTTCTTGACAGATGTATCAATGGATATAACCTTAGGTAACTTTGACTTTACAGCGGTTTATCTAATCAGTAAAGGACAACTCGTTAACTTGGAGTAAGCAAATTATATTATGCTGTTAGGTAAAGACGCTGACAAAATACAGGTTCTTCTGAACGCGTTTAGCAGAAATCTGAGTATGTTTGGCATGCATTTCGCACCTATCAACTGTGAGGTGATGACGCTCCAAGACTGGTCTGAAAATACTCCCAGTTTAAGGTTAGGGAATAAAGTGGCTGATTGTGTCAATCACTTCATTTACTTGAAGAATTGCATCAACCCGAACAGGGTGGTTGCTGACGAAATCTCATTTCAGATACGGAGGGTTCGTTTGGCACTTTCCAACTTGCGTCATCTGGGGCGCCGGCCGGCGAGATATCCGACGAGTATACTGGGCTGCAGTTCGTTCTGTCCTGAATACGGCTACGAGACATGCCTGTTTAAATAAGACAACGGGCGGTTACAGATTTCTGACTACAGGTTTCGTCGGTGGAATCACCGTATGAGAAATGTTGAGGTCAGGCGAAGGGTACTACGCAAGACAGGTAAGCCGATTGACGAGGTCGTTAACCTTCATCAGCTGAGATGGCTTGGATATGTACTGCTCATGCCAAGCCGCCGCCTACCTCGACGTGAAATGCTAGGGGAGGTTGGACTATGTTAGAATAGGGTTGAGAGTAGCCAGACGAAGACGTGGCACCAGTCGATGAAGTCTCTGACTCTTGGCCTGTGGGGAGATGTAGGCTAACTGGCTAGGGTACGCAAGACGATAGGGATCAATGATTGAGGACTATTGGTGACATGGCTGAAAATCGGTCACAATGGGGCAGATGTATTCACTCCTTGACGTCTTCTACAGCTTGAATATTCTCACTGACCTTTGTCATCATATTGCTTATTTCCTTACATAACTTTGTCTACTTCGATATCACTCTTTTTCTATCCACTTGTTTTTTGTATACTACTGTGAAGTGTGGTTACACGAATTGATACAAATGTGTGCGAGATTGGTTTGAGACTTCGGGTGATACACTTGAGAATAGACGTCAATGGCGCAGATGTATGCGTATATTATCCTCATCTTAACGACGCTAGAGCGAATCTTACCACTTTCTGATTCTTCGCTTCTCTGTTTTGGTACCTTACTTTTCTTTTGATTGAATTTTCTTATCTTCATCTTGGGCGTCACTACCTTTTCACTTGATGTACTGATATGAGGTGTGGCAACTCGGACCGTTACTCAGTAATGCCTAGTCTTAGGTTGATCTGGTTGGATGGATGGTGCGAGGTTCTACCGTGTTTTTTTATGTGCGTCTGACAGATACTTTCCACTGGTAAATTGAGTTTGAAGATTCATCACATTGGGCAAATGAGGTTAAGTGGATAAACATACTCGGCTCTTATGTAAGTGTCTCAGAAAAGCAGTATACATCGATGACTCGAGGTTCCAGAATTCTGACCAGCGATGTCAAGTTTTCGATCAGGCAATAAGGTGCAGACATTGACAGCTGGAATGTTAAAGCGATAGCGGAATTTTAGAAGACTGTGAGTGATGTTTTGCTTGCTTTGGTCGTTTTCAGTGGTCGTAGAGTGAGAGGAAGTTGTAAGAGGTCAATATTGGTTTCAGAAAGTGAAGGCAAAGAAGGAGGGAAAAGGAAGGAGGGTAAGCTATGTTTGATTTGGATTTTGCACACTAGTGGAGGTATGCGGGCGGTTGGCACTTTTACTCTGCCCACCCTGTTGAAGTTGTTTCTGTAGGGTACTTGGAAGAGAACAAGGCAAAAATTTGTGTGACCTTAGAAACCGTAAAATATCTGTTCGAGGACTGTCACATATAGCCTCTTGAGGATTGTTGTTTACGTGATTTGGTTGTTCTAGCGTTGGATAGGAAAAATCTATACCGCTGCCATTAGAAGGCAGCAGGATAAGGAGGAGAGTGATTTTGAAGGGCCTGCTTTTTGCCATAGGGAAGGCAGCATAAACATCATACCTGTGGTCATCGTTGGGGAACACTTTGCTGATATCACACACCATCCAACCAGTAGTATGACTTCGTCCTCGGACGGACACACCCACCATAGCATATCAGAAGGTAACTGCTTTTCGTCTTACCACTATCCAACAGACCTTTATGGTATGGTAGTACCTCGAGGGGACGGGAGTTGCAGCCAGTGTGGTCGGTTGGTTTATTGTGACATTCAAGTCCTACCACGACTTAAAAGTGACAGCTATCCTTCGGGAAAAT